TACATTGACACACGTTCAGAAACAGGGGCTCCTGAACATGTGCTCCTTATAAATACTGATAAATCTTCACTGTAATATTCTCTATACTACAGCGAATTTATGTGATCACACGCGGAATGGAGGATCGATCCGACTGGCCTTCAGCTGAAAATGACAGGGGGAATACCCAGTCCACACGCGGAAGAAGGATCGCCCTGCGAAGCTTGGCGATCCGACTGGACTATGGAAATTCGGAGATGAGGGTTATTCGCGTGCTTCGCTAGAAATAAGCAGCAGCCCGCGCTGAAAACCATGCTTTCACAAAAAGAATAAGGCAGCGTTTATATTTTGCGACTGCTGAGATTTGACGATTTGGAAGATTCGGCGATTTGAGAGACTGCGCGAAGATGAAAGTATAGGTATCGAACTGGCGACTATGGAGATACGGCGATCGCGCACCAAACGAGTGGACGGGTATCGATCGGTGCTGGTCGCTAGCAATGAAACCGCCGAGTCTTCCAGATCGCCAAATCTTCCGAGTCGCAAAGCATGAACGCTGTCTAACTCGTTGAAAGAAGCTTCATTAGACACTTTCAATGGAGTACCTAGCTTCCAAGTTATAGATCGGAACGATTCTCATACGCTAATGCAACCCACCAAGTGGCAGAAGCTACGTAAAAAGGCCGTCACTATCTTATGACCTTTACTCCAGACTACTTGACGGGAACTGGTTTTTGGGTGCCCCGCCAAATAGCACAGCAAATTTACATACTTTTAGTGACAGAAGCCACCTAGTTGATCCGTTCAGTTGACAGTTCACTTGCACTGCAAACGCTTCGACCTCGTCGACCCAAGTTTTCGTTCTTCCGTTCATGTCTAGTATCCCCGAGGGACAGAACCTTGCTTGCCCTAGGCGGGAGTCGATCACTGATTTCAGCCCCAACACTTCCCGTGCTAAGCGGCGCCACTTATCACTGCATCACTACACTACTGTTAGATATCGGAGCGGTCTACTGACCTACCGTGTGTATAACTTTTGTTTACAAGAACAACCACCATTAGTGATCTCGATCGAGTATGCAAACTGGTCATTTCGGGCGGTGTGTCCAGTTTATTCCTAACAAACATTTCTGCCTATTCTACTGCTATCTACACACACTCCGCGACACAACAACTACGTTTCCGCTCCTTTTGATATAGTATACTACAGGAACAAAGCAGCTGGCACAGCTAAGATCACCAACTACCCAGAAAACTTCCCCTCAGCAATAAGTTCTTCATAATCCACTTCTGTGCATTTAACTATTCGCGAGGTTCCAATACCATGAGAACAGAACTATTAGGTTGTCCGGAAAGTTCTCAGCGTTTTGTGCACCTATTTTTTGTACATTCACTGCTGATTAAAAACTCATTCTGCCTTGCTTCTCAGTAGCACATCCTGTAGAGAATTTCTTGCGCTATCTGATGGTATAATTGCCGTTTCACCATTGCTTGATAAACCCCCTTTTTTCAAGATTTTTTTCAAGCATGTGAA